TAATTTGATACTTTTTCGTTTTCAGGTCCAATCAACAGAGATCGTGTGCAGCGACTGTGGGAAAAAGTACAAATCAAGAGGAGGTTACCAAAGGCACAGAGCTACAAAGCACAATTCAAATCAAAACGCACACAATATTTGACTTTGACGCCAAACATTCTTGCTGAGATAGTAAACAATGCTTTGAAGAACATTAGTGAAAGGGAAGTGTTTGCAGCAAATCTAAGGAACGAGTTAAAACAATATGAATATGAAGAGCCTGGAAGAGAAACACAAGAATTCACTGTGATAAAGAAATTATTTGAAGACTATTTCAAAAATGGGAATGCTGAGAAATTCTATGGCAACTGTTATGCTCAAGTACCATTGAAATCTTCAATTTTTTTCAAAGGACTGTCTCGTAATGCTGCAACACTTCTTGCGACCAAGGTAGCTGATTTTATTCTATCCTACTGCAAAGGCATTAAGTCTTCTGACAAAAACCCACCTTCTGTTCAAACAGTGCTGTCAGAGAAAGAACAAGCTGGTCTGCAGTATGTTGGTGGGTATGTGTTGCATAACTTGCGCAAAAAGTATGCAAGAAAGAACACAACAGAGAACCAACAGGCAATGGCAATCTTGAGAGCTGGTAAACTGGAGTACGGACATGAGAACCAAAAACTGGTATCAAGTTTAAGCCGTGGGGGCTTGTGGAACATTACAAAGTATGCACAGAGCATTTTTCTCAGAGCAGAGTGTCATTTTAGACAATTAACTTCAGTAAATTCTTTGCAAAAAGTGGATATTGCTGGCAATGAGATGCTAATAACTGGCCGGGTATTCTGGAGTTTAACTAACTATGGTGAGAGCAACGCATAATTCAAACTCTTGGGCTTAGGCGGTAGTCCCTCCTTTCGCGCGCTCTTCGCCCCCAGGATTTCGCGCGGCCATTTTTTTCTCGCGGTTTTCTTTCGCGTCACGCACGACGGATTAAGCGAAAGAGGGACTACTTGTAGTCTAGAATATTGAAAGGACATAGCACGATTAACTGTCCTAAAGAATTTGAACCCGATGTATTATATAATTTTTGTGCAACACGGGTTTAAAAACTCAAAATTTTACAAAAAATGTATGAGCTAATTAGCGCTATTGTCCCCCAGAAAGTTTTGCAGTTTTTGAAAGCCAATTTCTCTTCGGATATTACACCCAAAGAGCCAATTCGTGTCTAGCGTGATGCCTTCTTTGCGGAAAGTCGTATGTTGATGAGGAAAAATGTAAACATTGATGTCAGCAAAGATCGTTCCTTACTGAAATGGTCTGAGTGGCAAGAGTGGCAAGTGGATGGTATGAGGGCTAAAGTGATCAATAAAACAATACAAAAAGCACTATTCAAGTGGTTTTAATGCAGCAGATTACAAACTCAATTAACTTATGCATGTGTTACATTACATTTGCACTTTATTTAACGTCTCATTCCAAGTCAGTACAAGACTTGGTTTCTGTTTGCTGCGAACACTGGAGACTTTCGTTCTTTCCACTCAACCAAAGAACTTGACAAAGGCGCATGCCAACATCAGCAAGGTGCTGACCACTGGTACTGCACTGCCGCTACTACCGCTGCAGAGGTCGGAATCGCAACATTCAAAAGAACATGTGCCGTTAGCTTGCTTGCAATTTTTTAACTTTGCGCTGGCGTCGTCACACTCCGCCTGGCTAGAACAGACTCTGGTAAAACTTTTAGATTCCACATTTAAAACGTTAAACTCTACGGAGAGTGTACCGCAGCGATCGTATCCCGAAGGACAGGTCATTTCCGTTTTCTTGTTGTTGCAGTCATCAAGACTCACTGTACTAACGCAGGTGTAGCACTTGCGTCCAAACGCTGCAACAAAAATTGAAGGTCAACTCACCTATGGTATGTTGCTTTTCTAAAACACCATATAAATTTCATGATGCCCCCTCCTCCCGTCCTAAAAAAGAAGTCCCCTTGAAAAGCAATATTTTATTATTAAAATTGGTCGAATTGTTCATTTCTTCAAAAATAAAAGTTAGTTATTTCAATGCGCTGTATTTATAAGACACGCCAGATTGACCGTTCTTTGCTATGTCGTTGGTTTTCCTTTACAAGTGCGGCTGTTAGTTTAGTATTTTGCTCGAAATTGGTTCACAAATGTTGCAAGGTTTCGAAAGAAGTACAACCTAGCTTTGTGGTTTGAATAAATTTTATCACATATGGAGGCTGACGAGAAGAGAATGAAGTTCCTTTTTCCTTTCAATTTAAGCTTCTCGTGTGTTCATCCACTGAATATTTAATCAATATTAATGTAAGAGACTACATCTAAATATGAGTTATGTAATCGAAGAAAGTCTCTGAATCGCCTCAAGTGATATCAAGGAATGCGTTCTGACAGTGGAAACAACTTGGAAATGAATCCGCAGCTTTTCGAGGATTTCTGAATTGATTTAGATTGGTTTCAGCCATAAACTCTGCTTCCGGAATATTTAGTTTGAGTATATACTACATACTCAGTTTAAGTTCCGTATGAATTCACGGAACACGTTTTTGACTTTTGTACAAAATGTTCAATTTTAGCCGATTCACACAGCCCCTTTTCTTTCATTTGAAGTCTATGCAATGGATTGTTTCGTTTTTGAAAACTTAATGCGTCAGTCTACTGTTTTTGATGGTGTCAGTTTGATGGCTCAACACTTTTTAGATCTTTTCATACCGTGTCTCAAAGAGAATAGATTGTACTGCAGTGACGCGTCTGCTCCATACATACATACATACACCTTTATTTATTTAAGCCTGGGTATCCAGTCAGAGTCAAAGCTAACTCAGTTATCAAAAAGAGTCTTGGGAAACTCAAGTATAACAATTATCAATCACAATATTGATATTCACTTGCAGCAAAAAGGAAGAAACATGTATGCTCCATTCCAATATTGTGATACTGTGTGCCTTTGAATTCCAATAATGAACGAATAAAACAACCCAAGCTATAAACCTAGCTGCAGATTTTACATCTTACTACAAGGGCCTTCATTAGCACAAACTTCGTAAAAAAAATCGGCCGTTTGGCGCTCATGTTTTACAGCAATGTCATTCTTCATCAAGCCACTCCCTCTATTGGTCCTGAATACAAGCGGAAATCAAGCTTTTCATTGTCGGCTTTTATCCGCAGTTATAAAAGAAAATTAATGATATTAGTGACAACAATGGGTGCATTTCATAAAACCATCGCCCAAAATGTGATCCATCATTCTGTTGAATATATTAAATAGTTAACAATTATATTGATTCCTCGGGCATGTCGGGTGCAGGTTATACTTAATCGACTTACTCCACACTCGGGTAACAGTAAATAAGACGTAACGACCTACTATGGAGTCAAAAGGAGCCTGGTCAAGTTTTACTTACGGGAATGAGTTCGGTAACAATTCGCGGTTTTATTTGTTAGTAATCCATTCCTCCTTACCTACGTGATATTATTTATTGAGGTAGAATTGTATTGTTATAATTATAAAGGGAAATGCCACCTAGGGTCGTCTTTATTGTTTGACACTGAAACGGCCGAGGAGTGAAGAGCGTCTAGACAGACCCATCATTTTCCACTTTTTTCTACTTGTTCAGTCTCACAGACAACTAGCATGTGCTCAATTCTGTGGAGAGAAACTCTTTTAAAATGTTCGTCATAGAAAGTGGAACTTATCAGATATCGCGCCTTCAGTTGTGTTAATCGGCTGCATCAAATAAGGAACTAAAACGTTTCCGCCCAATTTTGCGTTATTGTTTGTCTCAAAATTCCGTCACGAACTCTGAACACTTAAGCTGAAAAATCTGCTAAAATAGCTGAAAACGTTTTTCATTTAACAGTAAAGAACAAAGAACAAAGAATAAGGAACCCTTCACTGTTATCTACGTGCTTTGAAGCGAACTGAACCCATATCGATCACATCCCTCTCTCCTCCCACCCACTTGATTTTCAAAAGAACCGCTGAAAAATGTCTTTTGTCCCCACGAAGAGATATTGTTAAAAATGGCATAACTGGGTAATCAATAGTGCACAAAAATTGTCAATCATTTACCAGGTTTAGACCTCATCACTGATTTGCTCGTCCATTTTGTATGAAACGATGCATGGATTTCATGACAAGTTTCAAATGTCCTTATGATGAAAATGTCCCAGGATTTCTGTTTTGGGATATTTGTAATGTGAATTCAAATTTCCTCACTAGAATTTTGTTGCTTATTTGCTCAGGTGGATTTACTTTACTGCCTGATGAGCAAAGTGAATAAAACTCGTTGTTTCTAGTGACACACGGGTTAAATTTTCACCAATGCCTAAAATAACGGAAGCCTGATCTTGTGCCATCTCTCTTGCGCGAGATTAAAACGCACGAGTTGTGAGAGCCATCTTTGTTCCTTGTTTGAGGGAAAACCAGGCCGGTAAACATAGTAAGTCAGGTATGTATTTCTTTCTCGTGTGGCGACAGTAGCACACTGCTGAAATCATCAGATGAGCGTTGAACGTTCTAAAACTTTTTCTACGTCAGCGTCTTATAAGAAGGAATTTCTTTTTTTTCAATTTGATATCTGCTGTTTGAAATTTTAAAACTGGGGAAAGACAAGACGGACTACGGTAGTTTTAGCAGGAGTTTTTAACAACAATCTGCCAGGATCAGGCTAATTATTGCCATAAGCATTGTCAATGAAATCGGGTAATTTTACGATATCTTATTCAGGCCGTTTGATAAAAAGGTGTTGTACCTCAAAGGCTTCTATTAAATCATTATTTCAATATTTTAGCATATTCCAGACAAAACCAAATTGACCACATTGTAACTGTTAACACAACACGTTGTGTTTGTATGTTTAAGGTCCTCACGCCCCAAATTTGTGAATGTGAGATCGCATTTTCTGAAGGCCAATTCTCAGACAAACAGACCGCTTACACACTTCTTAAAAGGAAGCATAGGTTCACAAGGTCTATCTTCAAGTTTCCGACTTCAGTCTTTTGTAATATAGCAGTACAGTATTTGAACGTTAACGCGCTATGCTATATATTCCGCATGGCAATTAAGTATTCGGTCAGTTAGGATTTGTTCCTGAGTTGTTCTATTAAAGAGTAGATCTTTTTTAATTGCACATCAATGAAAATAATACGTACCTGCAGAAAAACAAAGCAGTAGGGCACTGATTGCCAAGAGCCTAGCCATGTTCTCGAAGGAAGTATGTCGCACTGTATACTCTACGTCTCACAAGTCTTGGACCGCTCCCTCTTCAGACTGAAGGCCTAGAAACAAAATGTAACTTTTATCTGATATATTTTTGGTGATGTCAATATCAGCAAACCGCTCGTGCTATGGTCGCACGTACGTCACTTTTGCATCATATAAGGACATGTTTCCTCCCATCACTTCAGTCAGGAACTAAACAGACAAAGCTTTCATTTAGCTGTAAAAATAAATTAAACAACTGAGCGAATTCGTGATTGGCGGTTTGAAGTTCTTCGACACTTTTGATTTGTGTTGTAAATAAAAAGAATGGGTATTCAAGACACCCCATGCATTCAGTGCTGTCAATGAATTTGAGAAATGACTTGAAAATCAATCAAACTTTGGACGCCGTTCAATATCCAAAAAGTATTAAGGTAGTGCCTTAGCCTTAGCGGCGAAAGAAGCTGCCTAACATTAATGGCATTTGCTGACTCATTTCCTTCAGGACACAGATTGAAACCTTGACCTGCACTGTGCTTCATGCAAACGTTTTGTGTCTTTTCTTCCCCCCTCCACCAAGTAAAAAAGAGAAAGAAGGGTTTGCAGGGGTGGTGCAGTGGAGGAGAGCGCTCGCTTCCTTCAATTTGGCTGGAGTTCGTATCCTAGACCAGGCGTCATATTTGGATCGGTCAAATTTGCTGTTGGTCCTCGTCGTTGCTGTCAGGTTTTTTCTCCGCATTCTACGGTTTTCCGTCTCTCACAATACCGGAAATTCCATTACGATCTCCATGCACGTACACTTCATGAGTGTATTTCATGAGTGAAAATTCCTGCGTCTTACTTATATTTCTTGTGATTAAGGACTGTCGGCAACTGTTTTGTCCTTCATACTTTTCTCGTCAAACGTGAACTGTCACACGTGTTACATGTATGTAACTACCTTGCTATTAGGGCTGACCAACAATACGAGATTCAAGTATCTCAAAGCAGTGACCTTGAAATGACGCAGCTCGGGGTCATAATTACTTTTAGGATTCAGCGCTCTGTATAGCATAGTTAATATCCTGATAATGGCTTTGATTATTTTTGCTTTATGCTGACTAGCTTTACTGGAACAGCATGTAACAGTTGCGTCCAAAACCTAACAGGGACATTCGGAGAGAATTCAACATGTTTTTCTATTTATACAGCAAAATCGAAGCATATTTTTAAGACTGATTTCTTGCTAGCTGAACTGAATAGGAATCAAGGGTTTGCAATTACGAAACACTTTATTCCTCACAAAAGGCTCCAGCGGAAGTCGCACTAGCCGGCGGACTGAACCAGGAGAACCCATCTGAAGTATAGCCTAGTCCTACACAGCAAAATGGGTTTTCTGCAGGGATTGCTTGCAGAACTGAGTGAAATGTGCTCGATTCCTTTTTCTAAAAGAACTATTTGTGACGACTTCTTTTTTCCTGGTGCCACGCAAATTGTTCAGTGTTTATCGCGCCCCTCACCCCCGAAAAGTTATGTTCCTATCTATTTATATTCATGACTCGTACACAGGGATGGGTGTGCAGCTCGAACTGTCAGCCTGAATGTTTAATATACTGTCCAAGTAGGGTTACAAAGCTCAAATAAGATGGTAGTTACAAGGCACACATGAAAGTAAATACCACTCAAGCTTTAAAGCTTGTGCCACCGCCTGATACGAACACCCATAAACCCAGTGAGAAAAATGGGAACGTATTCACCAACCAAATACAGGAGCACTAACCTCCAGGGGCCAGAGGTGATATAAGATTTCCAGACCTAGAAAATGAAAAAATCTTAAAATAAAATTTGAGAGTTCGAGAGCTGAGACAAATACATTTGCGACTGTCAAACCTTATATATGCTTACAACAATAGACTAAATTAATACCATAGCGGCACACGTGCATTTTATACCAACAGGAAAATACTTACATTCTCTGTGACTGTCACTAACAGTTCAGCTTCGTCGAATGTAAATACATTTACTTAATGAAACGATCACAGAGACATTGTCGATCCTTTAGAGATCCCACATTATTAGATCTACCACAAGTTAAGACCAAATGTGGACAGACCTC